GGCATAGGAATAAAGAAAGGCCCAAAAACACATGGAGAAAAGAGCTGGAGAATGAAGTAAGAAAGATAGGGAGGGCACGGGGAGAGCTCCTTGAAATGGCGAAGGACAGAACGACTTGGCGTGAGTTTAGTTGGTTTGAGGGCCTATGCTCCATTGGGGGATAGAAAGGCAGAAGATATACATCTACATATCTTCTTTCTTGTCTCTACTCCTGAATTTCTCTCGACATCAGTGCAGAAAGATATCTCTGGAACGGGCCCTTTTGTTTGCTACGTATTAAGTACTTTTAAGTATCTCTAACATGTCTGCAGTCCATATTCTGCGTGGTCGACATTTGAGTCTGTTACCGCTGTATCTGCGTAACATTGTTCTCTGTGGTGCCCTGTCTGATACCAGTATTGTTACATGGAAAGACTGTTAAATTTGTTATTTACCGTTAAAGTTCAGTATTGGACAACAAATCAAATGGTTTGGTCATGTAACTAGACTGGCATCGGATATGTAGCACCACAGAGAGCAACGTTTTACAGATATTGTTATACCGTATGATCTGCATAAATCTAGACAGTTTAACCTGTTGTAATGGTTGCACTATTTTCAATAGATTAAACGCCGTGAGAAAGCTGATCATTTAGGCATTTTATTTAATTATTTAATTATTTATTTATTGTTTGTTTGTTTGTTTGTTTATTTGTTTGTTTGGAGCGTCCTTTCCATCATGGTTAAGCGCTTCCCCGTCAATACAGTGACCAGGCCCCAACGTGGGAAAAAACAGGATTTTGAACAAACGATGTCTGGAGTTCGACCCAAGCTCATTAAAGTGGGTTCCAGAAAATGTTCAGTGGAGATTACTGGAAACTACCTGGGAAGGGGGGGGGGGGGGATTTGCGACTTTGAAGCAAGCTATCCATCACGCTGTCTAGGTCGAAGACAAGATTTTGACGGACTGGAACTTTCTATACTAAATTATTAAATAATAATAATAATGCTAACAATAGTAAGACAACTGCCCACATCAGAAAGAGACAATCTGCATTCTTTAGAAGGAGAAAACTGGAGAACATGACAGTAGGAAAGTTAGAGGGGAAGGGGTGGGGATAGAGGCCGAGTGAGATCAAGAGAAAAGATGCTGGACAGTTTGACATCATGACATGAAGGTTCATCTGTGTCAGAGTTTATTGAGGGTACACGAGACTGAAGGTTGTGGATAGTCATGACTACAAACGCAACAAGGCATGGACTTTAAAATGAATAATATAAAAAAGGTTGTCTTTGTGGGCGTCATTTTATGCCCCCCACCCCCTTATACGATATCAGAACATTCAGAATCACTCCCATAACGCGGCCTCTGTATTACAGCAAGTTGGCAATTTTAACGAGCCTATAAAATCTACAACTGGTCCTAACCCAAAACCCTATTCAACACAAACTAAACCTAGGTCCCACGAGACAGTGCATTCAGGTACTTAAAAGTTAAAATTTAAGTTGTCTTTCCTCGCCACTGTCGAAAATAATTAGTTTCTTGTCTGATAACCACTGCGATAACGCATCGTTAGCCCAACCCGGTGACGCCAGCAGCACACTCCATCAGCTGGAGCCGGTCGTGGGCGGAGCCAGGGCCTGGAAATGTGAGCTGAACCAAAAATTATTACCTAAGTGTCCTTATCCATCCACGTTTTTTTTTAAAATTACTTAGATTAATTCTTAATTCAAAAAAAAAAGTTTTCACAAGTGAAGGACTATTTGTCCCTGTTGTCGACGAATTGGACATTCAAGGTTAGATCTATATTTTATAGACCAATAGGCACTTGTTAGGTGATGTCGTCAGCGTCACGCCGACTGCCTTTACTTCCCGTGACTGCCCCTGGTACTCACTCAAAGCTGGGTCGACCTAGGAGTCAAAGTCTTTTTTGAGATAGGTCCTGCTCCATCAAGACCCGAACCCACGACCTTACCTGACCTTGCCTGATGTCGCGGAAAAGGGTCCCTTACTTGAAGTAAAATTTAAGGATAGCGACTATAAGGGTTATTTTTAAGTTGATGGAATATGTGCTTTCCCCCCTCTCTTATGTAGTAACTTATCATCATTATGCGCGTGCCGGTAAGCATAGGCTGTGTTGGTTCGACATCCCACAGGTTTAGCGGAATCATAGAGCGGTTCCGTGTTCTTGTCTCACTTCATCCAACGCTAAGCCGTATAATTTTTATCTCTTTGCCGCCCCCTTCCGAATCTTAACAGTTTTTTTTTTTAAACCAGGCTCTCGCGTCTATTCATTCGAAGGTCTACCTCAAATCTGTCCGATCATTTTACACTCCCCAATGTGGGTTTTGAGACCCCATTGTGGGGGGGGGGAGGACAAGAATAGACCCACTGCCTCCCCCAACATGCATGTCGTATGAGTTGACTAAATGTGGACGTCTTTCAAAGTCTGAGTGCATCTGCACGAGAGGTAAAAAAACAAACAACTGTATACAAATAAGCCACACACACACACAAAAAAAAAAACGATTATACATGCAAAAATTAGGCCCTGGCACAACGACAAAGTCCAGTTGGACGAACAGCCAGGACTTTCTGCAGGAGCTTACAAAATAGAAGAAGAAGTTTACCATGTTCATCTGCTATCTACTATCAACTGTCGGTGGAAATAACACATGCACTAAGTTTTTTAAGAAACAGAAGATCAAATGGTTTGGTCGTCTTTTTATAATGCAGAAACAACAACAACCCACGCCGGCTTTACGCGTGACAAGATCTGCTGTGAAAACAAGAGGACGGTCCAGAACAACAACCCACGCTGGCGTTACGCGTGACAAGATCTGCTGTGAAAACAAGAGGACGGTCCAGAACAACAACCCACGCCGGGGTTACGCGTGACAAGATCTGCTGTGAAAACAAGAGGACGGTCCAGAACAACAACCCACGCTGGCGTTACGCGTGACAAGATCTGCTGTGAAAACAAGAGGACGGTCCAGAACAACAACCCACGCTGGCGTTACGCGTGACAAGATCTGCTGTGAAAACAAGAGGACGGTCCAGAACAACAACCCACGCTGGCGTTACGCGTGACAAGATCTGCTGTGAAAACAAGAGGACGGTCTGGGAGAAAATTGACTGATGACATTAAAGAGCTTCTACGCCGATATGGAATGACAGTAGCCATAGCTACCAATCACGCAGTGGATCGCAAACTGTTCCTCCTTATAAGAGGCAAGCAGCCGACCCAGAAACCTATCTACTGAGGAAATTTACATTACAGATGAAGGGTTAGATGTACATTCAGAAACAAGCTATGTTTTTGTGGAAAATCATGCTTCTGTTTTGCTGCAAGCGGATATATTTTTATTTGATTCGACGTTATTTCCCCAATCAAAAAAGGTCACGTTCTAATAATAACTTTTTTTTTTTTTTGGACTGGTCTACTTTCCCTGGGGGTTACGGATGTGCCACTCTGGCTTGTCTTGCATTTACGTTTTTCTTCCGAGAAAGAGAATGCCTGTGACATAGGCTGCAGCACTCTCTATGGGGAGTTGTGTGTTAGACCCAGTTTGTCCATGTTTTTGTAGCGTTTAAAGCACTGGCGTGCTAAAATATACAAAACGCGATATCAACAGCATTGCGGAACACCCCCGTAGCAGTGTGCGAAGGTTACGCGGCTCAAGAACTACTAATCAGAAGTGAGCTAGTGTGTATATGGGCGGGCTCTGGGAGAGTATCGTGGAACTAACCAGAGTTTCTTAGTGGTGGGGGGAGGGGGTGAGGTGGGTCAATAAGATCACACACACATGTTAAGCTCATTATGTATATTATACAGAATGAAGATAATTGCAACTAAAACTGAAAAATTATTGCAGGTCGGTAAAGTTCCTAGTCAACTGCAGGTCGGTTTGAATGGCACTTATCTGAAAACTGTTCTAAAATTTTAAATGTCTAGGAAGTATATTCTTGAAAGAAGGCAAAAATATATCGGGTGTTATAAACGCTATGTGAGAGGGAGAGTGCAGTTAGAAGCAATCTGGCGCCGTTATTGGGACATCCAAACATAAGTATGACAGCCAAGAAACACATTTCCAGCAGTATGTTGACGTCAACACTGTGCTACCAGTTTGAATCTTGAACGTTATTCAGTTCTGGCTGGTTCTGCGCAACTTGGTGGAATATTGATGCATGGCCAAACTTTAGTCTAAAGTTTGGCCATGATTAATGTATGATAAGGCAGACGTGGTTAGGGCCTTGTATGGGAACGTGTACTATTGGCATGAGCAAGCGAATCACCACAGTCTGGTGAGAGGGATGCTGCGGGGTGTGACAAGGTGATCTGTCCGATGCTCGACCCTCACAGGAAAGGCAAGACGGACGTATACTCAGAGTTCTGCTGGCACCACTGGTATTGGAACTCTGCGCTGGCTGTTGAAAATGAGGGTAGAGGGCTTATGGAATGCCAAGTGCTGTGACATCGGTTCATGAATTTACTCAATCAATTCAACTCTGTAAACTTCTCTCCTATGTAAAATTAACACCTGTGAGATGAGACTCCTGAAGTAAGCGACACAAAAAAGCATTCGAGACCAAGTGAGATGAGACGCCTGAAGAAAGCGACACACGTAAAACATTAAAGACCAAGTGAGATGAGACGCCTGAAGAAAGCCACACAGGTAAAACATTCAAGACCAAGTGAGATGAGCCGCCTGAAGAAAGCGACACACGTAAAGCATTCGAGACCAAGTGAGATGATAATCTTAGGCAGATTGTGGGAACACTTGCACAGAATTCAGTGGAAAGTAGATGTCGATGAATAAACTCTCGAAGGATAACAAAGCTGCTGGTCCAGATGGTATCCAAGCACCAGTCATTGAAACTAATATAAACATCTTTATGTGTTCCAGTTTCTATATTGTCTCATTCTTTCTATTATCTCTACTTATGTTTTATATTCTTCGTTTCTTTTTTTTCCCCACAGATTCAGGTCACTTTTGTTTAAGGAAAGTGGTAACTCAAGATGAGCTTGGCTCCGTTTTCCGAAAACGCCGGAGGCAGAAGGCATACAACAAGGTTCTTCATTGATGACATTCTTGTCAGTAAACCCAAGCCCCTCCCAAGAGAACCCATCGCACCAATCATATCTCGACCTCCCTTTCTTGACTACGCCTCCTACGCTGCGGCTAGTCTAGCTAATCCATGCCCACTGCTACTGACTCCGCCCTTCTTCACGCAAGGCCATGCAACTTTCCTCAATGGAATACAAGACCATCACGGATTTCTGCTTTCATCGGCTAGAGGTGAGTAGAAATAACTCACTCTTCCATATTTACAATGGTGATCGTATGAAAAACCTTACACAGCCTCAGTTAGTTGTCTTTTACGACTGGCTTTTAAGGGTCAGTCAGGAAGTTCTCCCGCCTCTCACGGTCCAACCCAATGAGGAACCGGATACCGTATCAAGTAAAGAATCGTCTTCCACGCCTTTGGGCGTTTTGGACGAATAGGGCTAGACCTATATTTTATAAACTTATCGATACTCGGTGAATGATGTGGTCATTCAAAACTCCGACGGCCTTTACTTCCCATGTATCTATTTAAGGTTGGATCGCCTGGAAGCCCAGGGGCATTTGCCCCTATGAGGCCCAGACTGTTAATTAACACAGTAGTTCAGTCAATGTGATTATGATACAGCGTAAATGTATGCCGAGCGACAGACGACGGCCATTTTGAACACATATAACCTCTCTTGTAAGTTTCTTAACTTTATACCTTCCCCCTCCTCTCTCGCTCTCTCTCTCTCTCTCTCTCTCTCTCTCTCTCTCTCTCTCTCTCTCATCTCTTATATGCGTAGTATTAACATGTAATGGTGGTCTTTTCTCTTTAGCCTAGGGTGCGCATAGGGCATAGCTCTCCATGTCTGGCGGTTCATTGCCACCTGCTTCAGGCCTTGGATGTTTGTTAGGCCGTGGTTGAGCCTTTCCTGATGATGGTTCTACGCAGGTTATCTCTTGATCTTCTCCTTTTTCTTTTCCCTTCCGGTGTCCGTATGCGGGTTTGATAAAGGAGACTGGTCTTATCCATTCTGAGTGCAATAGCCAATGTAGTTCCAGAGGCGTTTTCCTAATAAATGTGATTCCTTATCTTGCCTGGTCTCTTGAAATGTAATGTATATTTAAAGAGCTATACATGAGTGAAAGTGTATCCGTAATTTTGAATATCCCTGATATTTACACTAGCTTTAGTATCTTCGGTTGGAAATTGAGTTGGACAAAAAAGAGCACTCGCGACATTCCTTATGAGCTCCGTTCTCATCTTCAGCAGCCAGCGTAGAGTCAAATTCTGATGGTAGTAGTAGCAGTTTAATTGTTTGTCTGTCTTTTTTTTTTTTCATTTTTGAGTGCGGAGAGTCATCCCAATTTCCCAGGTTTGATCTATGAATGATTCTGCATTGTTCAATTGCCTCTCTCTCTCTCTCTCTCTCTCTCTCTCTCTCTCTCTCTCTCTCTCTCTCTCTCAACGGTCTAGCTTTTCATGTATCGTCACCATCCAGTGGCGCAGCACCAGTGTATATTGTTGCTCACGTAAAAAATACATGGGCAGTTGGAAATCCAAAAGAGTAGCACAACAGTGCTTCTTCTTCTTCTGCCTTTCTATCCCTGAATGGAGCATAGGCCTTCAACCAACTCACGTCAAGTCGTTCTACCCTTCGCCATTATATAGAGCTCTCCCATCTTTCTAACTTCATTATCCAGCTGTGTTTTTTGGCCTTCCTTTATTCCTATGCCCCTGTGGATTCCTATGCAAAGACATTCTAGTCATGCTCTTCTCCTGTTTTCTCAGTGTGTGTCCTATCCAACGCCAGCATCTTTTCCTCACCTCTTGGTCCACTGGAGCCTGTTTAGTTCTCTCCCAAAGTTCTACATTAGTTATTCTATCATACCATTTAATTCACTCTATTCTGTGCTGGCACCAGTTAATGAATGTCTGTAATTTATTAGTAATTTCCTTAGTTGTTCTCCATGTTTCCGCCCCATACAAAAGTACTGGTTTGACATTAGAATTAAAAATTTTTAGTTTAGTATTTTTACAACGGCGCTGCCTGGGCAAAATTGGGAGTTAAAAATCTACCCAAACTAATTCAGAATCCTTGCCCGCCGGTGCAACAGAGTTCGTGCACTGCACTGAAATTCTTATGGGTTTCACCCGTGTGCCATGATGTTGATTTGTTGAAAAAACAGAAACAAACATAATGGTTGGAGTCGCTGAGGAAATCTCGTCTGAAAGAAATTACTTTCAGATTTATGCCAGATCAATCTGGGGTAAAAGGGATTTAGACGGTCGGATTGGCTTGCTAGCAGGGCCACGGTAGGTAGAAGAAAGGCTATGGACCGGGCCGACATTCTCTGTGCTCTCGCGGTTGCAGTACGAGAAGGTGATTCAGAAACTGCCAACACTCACATTCAAAATACTATAAAAACGTCAAAGAGGTGACGGCAAAAATGAAAACTAGACAGGTAGCCAAAGAAGAATAGTAAACCAACACAGAACTGGTGTTACCAGTCGCCACACGCTGAGGAATAAACGAGAGCCTGTAGCTTTATTAGAGATTGTGAGCCATGCCTTGGTTATAGTTTCCTAATTTATTTTAGATATCACCGAGTTATAATTGTCAACATATATCGTTGTATGTATGTTGTGAAGTTCAACATACTTTTAATTATCTGTATATGGTGATCTGAATTTCCATTTGAATACCTGAAGACACTTATATGATGTTGTTGTTCGTCCATCAAGAGTGATGGAGACCACTTTCATCCAAAGTAGTAATGATCACTGGTTATAAGGTGGCTTATTAGTCCAATATGAGCCAGGAAAGTTCTTGAGTAGTGCAGACAACAGATGGAAGCCACAGTAAGTGTGGGATTAGCAGTGCCTCTGTTTCTCTGGCTGTGCTACCTCTGTTGTCTGGCAGGTCGATGCACCATGCCTGAGGGACGTACGCCACCCAGAACGGTCTTGCGAAGAAGCTTTCCACTTCGCTGTGTTGATGCCAACAGAATTGAGAGTGTCCTTATAGCGCTTCCCTTGCTGGAGCTCGCCATAAAATACTCTCTTTGGAAGGCGATATTCTGGCATGCGGGTTAGATGACAGCTCAACTTAGCTGATAGTATATGATGCAGAGATGATCTAGATACACATTACCATACATAGTAGTGATTATGAATTCAGGTTGTCACATGAGATGTTAATAAAGGTAGAATAACAGTATCCTAGATCACTTTAAATATCCCCAGTGATAGCCACACGATGTGATTATCACAATTTTTAGTGACAGATCACACAATGTGATTATCCCAAATTTTTAGTGACAGATCACACAATGTGATTATCACAATTATTTCAAAAAAAAAACTTAAAATATATCAAATTTAGCAATCTATACTCAAATATAGATAGATATGGAATTGCAGGCGTTTGTGACTTAAGTGTTGCGAACGCGCTTCGTAATGCCGGGGTGTCGGGTTCGATCTTTGCTGCAGACAATTTGTTTTGCTCAGGTTTCGGCAGTGGTACCGAGAGCTGACCGTTAGAAGGAAATGGCAAACTACTGAACGTAAAAATCTTCCTAGAAAAAACCCACAAAAGCCAATAACTGCTAGGGTTGGTTCTGCAACGTCCTGTAAAGGATACGCAACTAACTTTATACTCGAATATTTAACACTGAATACATACACATTAAGGACCATTTTCCACGCCTTTAGAGGCACTGAGGACATAATACTAGAGCTATCTTTTATAGACCAATAGGCACTCAGTGGGTGATGCAGTCAACATCACGCCAGTCGCCTTAACTTCCAAGGACTTTACATGGAGGGAGTCGCCGGGGCCGAGCGGCTAGGCGCTCGCCGCGGATCAAAAGGTTCGCTCCCTGGCGGAGCCGGACTTATTTCAAAAATGACTTTGGCTCCCAGGTCGACCCAGCCTCTAGTGGGTACCGGGTGCATTCCCGGGAAAGTAAAGGCAGCCGGCGTGATGCTGACCACATCACCCATCTTGTGCCGATTGGTCTATAAAAATATAGGTCTAGCCCTATATGCCCTATACGCCTAAAGGCGTGGAAAAGGGTCCTTTACTTACTTATTTTACTTTACCTGGAACCCGTTTAGAACTGAGTATATCTGGAAGCCAAAGTCATTTTTGAAAAAGCCTGGTTCTGTCAGGGGGTGAACCCACAACCGTCTGATCCGCAGGCGAGGGTGTAGCCGCCACACCACTTTGGCAACATTTAATAATAATCTAAGCAATATTAAATTACAAGCATAAATATTAGATAATTCTTGTTTCCTTCTGTCGTGACACTGTTGCTGTGTTGTAACCCAGTGCTGTTTTCTGTGTTTGTCTTGTGCTTCTTGTCTAGGTTACAAGTGTTACTAGGTATGTATATAAAATATATAAAATAGCTCAGCATTGCACGCCAACAGGAGCTCTGAAAAGACCTGTCTGAACGCGGTTTCTGGGACCTCTCCACGGTGATCCTCATTCACATGGTGGCACTTTGTGTCATCGGGTGTTTATCGCTTGTGTAATGTCCTGGTGGGGTAGAAAGTCAGTCAGTCAGTCAGTGAATACCATTCAGATTAACCATTATTCCTTACGTCCTTCTTAGGACGTAATTTTTTGTTATTTAGAGCCCCACTCTGGCTTTTGCCAGGGGCCGCAATATAGGCAGGCCATTAATATGGCCAATTGTCTGAACGCGGTTTCTGGGACCTCTCCACTGTGATCCTCATCCGCATGGTGGCACTTTGTGTCATCGGGTGTTTATCGCTTGTGTGATGTCCTGGTAGGGTAGAAAGTCAAGTCAAGTCGTGAATACCAGTTTAAAATCTGTGCACGAGATAAACAATTATCCCCATAAATTTGTCGCATCAGTTCAATTGTCGCAATGGCGATTTTTCTGAATTTTAAACATAAAATGTAATATTATTATTTTTTTTTTTTTGCTTCGTGCTGATTACGTAACAATGAATGCACCCCTGACTAGGTTAAAAAATGGCAGTTTGTTTGTTTGGGGGGGGGGGGGGGTGAAAAGTTGCCAATTCATAGACGAAGGTTGCGTCTTTGGATTCCATGCTGTGATTCATAGAAGGCATTTTTGTCTTAGCCATAATAAAATCGTCTCATTACTTAATTGTAGGACTTTGTATTTGTGCCTCTGCACTGTTCACTCGCTCCCAAAGGACCCTTAACCCTTTATTGTCATGCATCGATCAACCAATAGAGCTTGTCAAACATCAGTTCACACAAAAGAATTAAATTAGTTCGGCAGTTCTGCCTGCCTTTCTGTCATTCTAATGTCATTCAATGTAATCTATCTAACAGGTCTACCACTGGGACCTCTCTTTCAGCACGAGAACGCCAGCAAACACTGTCGACGAAGAAAAGCCAGAACGGTGTTCAGCGACCAGCAGCTAACAGGACTGGAAAAGAGGTTCGAATCTCAAAGATACCTCTCAACACCAGAAAGAATGGAACTAGCATCCCAACTGAACCTATCAGAGACACAAGTAATGTTTATCCTTCTGCATCGTTTCACTTGGTTTTATATCTTTCTTTTGGGATGAACACTCGGTATCGTTCCACGATAGCGTTTTATAACCTTTTATTTAGTTTGCTTTGGTATGTTTGTATGTTTCTCTGTCTGGAACGTTGCGGTCAATTTGTTTTCCTTGACGAGGATAACAATTCACCTTCACGCAACGATTAGGGTATCCTATGCCCCTGTCTTCCGGTCAAAATGGACGTTAGGCAGCGGCACTGTTCGAAACAGAGGCAAATTTTTTTGCTTCTGCCGAATGGTGGCCAATGCATTTTTGTTCCATTTGTAGACTAGATGTAGCTTCTGAGTTGAATGCATGGCGTGACCCTGTGAGCTGCGGATTGCATGTGGAATGGTTTTTAGACTGTGACCAACGTGTTGGTGTGAATTGTAGATTCAGAAAATGGCGCGATGCCTGTCGTGCAATGTTGTGGTGCCCGTATGTGATTAAAATTTATCGCGTGGGCAACTGCTGATCAGTTGGCGACTTCTGCTACCATCAATGATGAACTGCAATTCTAATACTGTAATAAACATTCTGTGTGTTTTTCGTTGGCACGGGAGCGGAGCAAAGATGGGGTGACCCGTTTGCTATGAAGCTGAAACTAAGACTACCAGACTACCATCCTATGCCCCTGCTATTATATTGTAAATTTGGAGAAGGAAAACTGCAATACAGTCTCAGTGAAAATTGTAATTTGATACTTTGTCGGAAGATCAAAAGATTTGTTAACAAATCAACCACTGGAAAAACAAAGCAACAGTGCGTGGGTACATGAGCGCCGACACTAAGAAAATAACTGGATAATTTGAGCACCCTTACAAATGTCTTTTTGAGTGCCTTAGGATGACATAAGCTTAGCTTGAGTGTATAATAATAAAATGAATTATTATTTGCTAAATGGCAAATTAATATAAAAGTTTATTTTAAAGATTTTGAAGTGTATGAAACATACTTGAGGGGAACTTCTATACATTGTCTGGAAAAAAGGGAAAGGTGGTGAGGGTGCTATTGGAAACCTATCCCACCCCCCCCCCCCCCATTTCCCTCCTGATCTCAGCACCTCTGCTGTAGTCTCATCTGCTTTTGTCATTCTAAAAACCGCTGTAGCACTGGGTAGTGGGCTTGTCTGCCATCGGTCCAGGTTCAATTCTCAGCACTATCTGCCACTGAACCTTTGGGATTTAGAGCCGCATGGCTAGTACTGTTGCTACGGACTGGGCAGACTAGACCGCTATTTTTGCCCCCGGTTTACAAATGTACAACCCTACAGAGGATTGAAACTTGGGACTCCCGCCTGAGATCCCAGCGTTCTTAACCGTTCGGCATTTCTTAACAGGGTAAATTTTACGCTGGTCTCCCCATCGCGCAGCGTTTGACCCTTCATTCATGCTTCCGAGAACGCGTCTACATCAAGGGGGTGTCACAGTTTTTAACTTTGTGAGACAAGATTAAAGACCCTAACAGGGCCTCAGTCATATGTAAATTGCGGACCTCTTTCCATATAAAGTAAAAGGACGCTTTTCCACGCCTATAGAGGTCTTGGACATCTCAATTTTATAGACACATTGTATGATGAGGATCACCATCACACCAACCGTCTTTATTTCCCAGCACATCACTTGGTACCCATTTAAGGCTGAGGGCCAAGGTCATTTTTGAAGAAGAAATAATCTGCTTGTGTTAGAAACTGAATTCACGACCCTCTGATTCAAAGGCGAGCACACAGCTGTTACACTACACCGGCTTCCATGCAGCATTTCCTCGTCTTCTTCTGCCGTTCTATCCACCCAATAGAGCATAGGCCCTCAACCAACTCACGTCAAGTCGTTTTATCCTTCACCATTACATGGAGCTCTCCCCATGTCCCGCACATTTTTCTAACTTCATTCTCCAGCTCTCTTCTCCGTGTGTTTTTTGTTCTTCCTTTATTCCTATGACCCTGTGGGTTCCAATGCAAAGAGATTCTAGTTATTCTGTTCTCCGGTTTTCTCAGTGTATGTCCTATCCAACGCCAGCGTCTTTTCCTCACCTTTTGGTCCACTGGAGCCTGTTTAGTTCTCTCCTAAAGCTCTTCATTAGTAATTCCATCATACCATTTAATTTCCTCTATATGCAGCATTTAATTGACATTAAAACCAGAAACAGCCAACAGATGCTTAGGGTAGGTTTTCAAAGTCCCGCAACGACAACCTGCTGGTACGAAGTAATGTGTAATGAGGGGTAAATATATATATATATATATATATATATATATATATATATATATATATATATATATATATATATATATATATATAAAGCAATTACTGATTATTCCTTTTATGATGTTTATCTTCCCTGCAGGTTAAAACCTGGTTTCAGAACAGAAGAATGAAGCAAAAGAAAATTCAACGGAAATGCCACGACGACGATGGCGGCCGGGTCAACGATGACGGGTTGGACACCAGCTTAGAAGGGGCTGGAGATTCTGATATCGAGGAACCAGCCTGCGAGCCCCATCAGCCACACTCGAGTCCCCACCATGACCCACTTCAACCTCAGGACAATAAGGGTCAGCTCAAAAGACATCTGACTTACCAACAAATCCATCAGCATCTTGAACAAGGGGATCAACCACATCGAGACCTATATAATCACGGAAGTAGGTTAAGGTCGTACTCTGAACTTCCGGAGTCTGACCCGGAAGATAACGAAGAGATCAATGTTGTAGACACTGATCATGCTGATAATGTAACTTCAAAGTCGCTTACAGTATAA